TCCCCATTAAAATGTAAGCGTGTATTGTACAATGTACATGGGCACAATCTTCAACGTCACGCTGGGGAGGGGATGAAAAATAACAAAGGTCACTTAAATAATAATATGTGCAAAAATGATAAAACAAACCTTTCTGGATATTTCCATTGCCGTGATGGGCAGACCGGGCATRATGTCGAATATGTCCAGGAGAGCAGATCCGGGTACACCTTCGTCGTTATACCACTGCACCACTTTGTAAACGCGGCCTTCGTCTGTAAAAAAGGCCAATTTAGAGGTACGTGTTAATTAAAAAAAAAAAAAAATTATAAAAGACGTAGTATAGCAACGCGTGAACATAAATCGCAAGAAGAAAATACATTGTGATAAAATTATTTATATTTTACGAAAAAAAAAGACACGTGCGTAAGTGTCTTACATTTTATACATATTATTAATGAATAATTTTACGATAAGTAATTTAAACTTACTGGTAGCGGCGTAATAGACAGTGTAGTGTAGATGATTTCCGAACACGACGTAATCGAGAACGTCTACTACCAGACGCGTGAAGAACAAGTCACGCATGTAGAACACCGGTTCGTTGTCTTTGTGCGCCACCGCCTCGTCCATGAGAGGGTGACTGCGGATGAAATTCAATACGGAATCTAAACACGACAACGATAATAATATTAAGTGAGCGATATTTACATATTTTCCCAATCAAATCGTGCAAAATATTAAGAGCTCGCGTATACAGATGTACGTATATTAAACGTATTTTGTGTTACGTTGCGATGTATATTATTATACCATTATATTACTGTTAACACATAATCGTGGTAGCGCTTACATAAGACATCCACAGTCTTGTTTTATATATTTATCTTAAGACTGACGAGGCGCTTAAGTTTTCCGCGGAGTAAACTCGAATCGACATCCGATCAGGTCGAAACCAACTGATCAGTTATCATATTATTTACCTGGCAAAGTCTCCGTGTCGTTGACGCACTGTCCGGGCCTGGGTTCCGGTACCTTGGTAGACAGTACCGGGAGCCAAGCCGACGTGGAGCTGGCTTGTTCCTTGAATCGGCCCGCGAACGCGTGATCGATGTCCTCTAGCCGGAAAGTACAAATGGCCGAGCCCATCAGTCCGGTAGTGGACGTGGTAAACACGCCGTAGAAGAGTGTATCATCGTCCGGCACCTTGTAAATGCTCTCTGTATATACACAACAGAAAACGTTATAGATTCGATTCCGGTCTTACTGCAGCAGTGCGGCGGGTATAAGTATATAATAATATTATGTATTTATGTACTATTTATAGGTACTCACGGATTTCGTTGAAGTAAAACGGATATTCTCCCGGTATGGAACAGTTGAGCCGGGCCTTGAGGTACGTGGCCCAGTTGTGGCTGAGTATGCTCTTGCCACCCGTGTCCTTCTTGCAAACCCTGGCCACGCGGGAGAATATGCTCTTGCCGCAGTTGATGTACTCGACGGCGGTCTCGCGGAAGAAGAAGAATACGTATTGGCCGATGTCGTAGGAGCCCACAAAGTCAGGTTCTGCGAAACAGATAAAAATTGTTTAACCTCTMATTTATATGCTGCTGTAGATAATTCGTGGTATTTCATATTATATATTGTACAGCGTACGCAAATGATACAATATGATTGATAATAATCTACTCGAATATACGCGAGGAAGGTCGTGTGGATAGACAATTTGAATAATTATATCGTCCGCTGCGGATGTGTTTCAATCATATTTTTGTACAAAAATTACAATTATTATTGGAACACGACTTAAATCCGCGTAACAGTCGAGTGTTGTATATAAATCGATAATATAGGTCATAGGTCGAACGTTCGCGCGTATCCGTTTATGCTTTTACTTATTAAAAGTTTGTGTGACACACTGTGTCGTAGGGCRCATCACACACATATTATTATACGCGTACCAGCACTCGCATATATATTTATACACGACGACGTGTGCGCATCCATCACGCGTTCAAACTTATTTCGCAGCTTAATTATACTCGTCGTCGTCGTTGTTATTAGTAGGACGCAAGCGGGCATTTCGAGGGGTTAAACCCCGCGGGAGAGTGCTAGCACGTCTGTTTAGGTGCAGTGCACATATTATACGCGCATATATATATATATATATAATAATAATATACGCAAGCAGACAGTGACGATTTTCGGGGCGACAGCTGTGCGGGGCGGTGGCGTACATACACACACAGCTAGTGGCCTTTGATACAGTCAATTCGTTTACGCTCCGCCGAGCGTGTGACAGTTTTTTTTTTTTTTTTTTGTTAAAGGGTGCGAGCGTTCGTTATCTTTCGGGAAGTCAAAAAATATGAATCACCGAATAAGAGTGGAGGACCGACTGCTATATTATATAGGATCACATTATACAGGACTAAGTCGATGGAGAACATAATACGCATAATATACATATATATATATATATATATGTATGGAGGCGGTCGGTCGGCGAAGGAGTCCGTCAAAAGTTATACCAGCGGCAAATATTATTATTCGTCGTTGTCGCAGTCGTCGCGCGTATGACACACATATTATATACG